ACAATAAGTCTTCCCAAAAATGTAAAATCACAAGCCATTAAGATATGTACCTTTTCAAGTAGCGTGTGACTGATTGAAAAAAAAAACTACAGCAGCCCATACTCTTTAGCGGGAACTACACCCAACATGCATGTATATTTTTATCGTGTTACTGAAAAAGGCATCAAGTAAATAACAACATGTCAACATTTAAGTTTTATAACTCTAGAGGAAATATGAACAAAATAAGAGATTAACACAGAGGCTCCTGAAAGTACAAGGAAAATAAGACCATTTGTTCAGGAAAAGAAAGCGTCTTCTGCTTCATCGACGACACCCAAAATATAAACCGTGGTCAATCCAAGTAAATGATGTCATAAAGTAATGAGAACATGGTATACAACAGCAACTGAATTTTGTTTTGAGGTGTCCTTTGTTGTTTTTAGCGTTTCATTCTTGTTTAGAGATATCATATCCTCATTATACGTGCTGGAGAGAAATAATATGTCTGTTGAATCTCGCGTCGTGGCTGATTGTAGGGTATATTTTCCATATTGTCACCGAGTGACAGAAGTGTAGATTTAAATCATGTTCCTCCAGGACAAACACTGTGGTGGGGTGTGACAGAAAAAAGATTGATAACAATAACTTAGACTAAGAATCATACAAGTATAGAAACGCAAAGGGATGGCAGTGGACATAAATCTATGAATAGGAAAATATGGGTACAAAAATAATATGGAAAAGGGCAAGAAATGTCTGTTACAAGCTCCAGAAATAGATAGGGTAATTCTTCAACCTATTTCTGGTAAATCTGTTCATGATTATTCTCTCTATGGATCTTGACCATTCTTCCAGTACTTCTAGGTTGGGACTGAATTTATCAGCTTACCATATCTCGGCCATGTAGTTCGTGCTCTGTGTGGTATCCTCAACCCTTTTATCACGCGCTTTGGTTCCTGACGAAGCATTTTGTATTTTGACTTTGTATGTCGGCTTTGTGAAACTCCGGACTGTCACACGACGAGCACGAATACGGAAACCAATCCTCGATCAAGCAAATGTTTGCTATTTTAATAGTTGTTCTGCTGTAAGATATGATATGCTGTGTACAAAATTGAAAAAAATCAAGTGTTCTTTATTATTGTTTTAAATTCTTCCGAATTTACATATCATTATATCACTTCCTTGAAATAGCAGTATCACAAAAATACTGTAATCCTGGTTTGGTTATACTCAGAGTGGTAGTACGTGGTTTGGACAAAGGATCGGTTGAATAGCTAGACAAACCAGCAATAAAACATGATTTATATGGATTTTTGTGAAGTTAAGGCATCCAATACAAATGGAGGACGTCCATATTCTTACCATTAGTAAGCATTCTAAATAATAGTAATTTTCTGCTGACAGGATCAAGTTATTGGACGACTTATGAGAAGGCAGAATAACATACCTGTCATGTTTAATTTGAATTTAAAATTAGATACAGTTTAATCAAATAATGAATTCAAATGCACGAAACAACGACATAGGTCATCAGGGAATAAGTTTGTCTTATCCGCCTTACTCCAACAATGTCATTTATTTTGTGTCAGTTTCATTGATGTCGAGCTGGATACAGTAAGATTAACGTTATTGTAGGTATATCCTGGAAAAACATCACGAATATTTCAGCTGTTTTACTTTCGTCCTAATAACAAAATAATGTGAGAAGTCAGGGAAATAGGACGAACTACCCCGGAGTCTTGATCTTCGTACAAACTCCTTAATCTGAAATACAAAAGAAAAACGCTTTCATTTTAAACCATATTATCAAAATATGCTGATAGCTATGACTGCTTTAGTTTTAGTCTATATTTTGTGAAGATCATTCCAAATGAGAATTAGATATGTTCGTAGTTTATAACTAGTGGTAGCGTGTATATAAACGGATATGTAAGTTTGTTTACAACGCGACCTGTAATGTAAAAAAATGAACGTTGTAAACTGTTTAATATATGTACATTTATTTATTATTAATCTGAAGTTCAGTGTACTAAGATTTGCTTTGTCGAGTTCGATTTTGTTCTATCAAGTCCATCACTTGTTGAAAGCTAGTATCTTTTCTGCTTTGATGAACCATTAAATATTGAATAGATGAATAAAATAATGAGTAATGAGAATGTGGAAAAATGTTGACCCCAATTATGTTTTGTTTTTATAGAGCCGTTAGAAATATTGAAATAAAAGATCAAATGATTGTGGTCAAGAATCTCATTAAACTGCTTCCCGTAGTGACATTTTCTATATAAATGGGTCGTTACGAATATTATATATGTAAATAGATAGTACAATAAGGTTAGCGCTCATATTAAGGATATCGAAATGTATGGTGGCCAAACCTTATATCGTAGCGACATAATATGAAAAAAATCAGTTTCAGGGGCATCCTTGGTTGTGTTCGAGGCAATCATTGTTTTATTATTTTTTCTCTTTAATTGAAAGATCATAGAAAGCGGCTTGCACCATAAGAATAAAAAATGTGAAAACACTTAATTCTATCTTTAAACTGAAAAAAAAACGCAGAATGAAGATTTAAAAATGGTGTACGTCCTTGATAATGTTCTATAATGAAACTTTTTTACAAAAACTTTTACTAGTTTCGTGGTTAAATAAGAAGTGGTCGCTGTGCTCTCTTTTGTAATTGTCAACCAATTACACATTTTACTAAGATCAAGAAACAAACAGATATTTTAAGAAATGGTCCATCAATTTAAAATTCATGAATTTGAGATCTTTGATTGCTGGTGTTAAATTATTATAATTTCGTTGAAATCTACGTGTAAGACGTGTAATGTAGTGCAGTGAAGAATCAGCTAGAAAACGTTGTACATTTTAGTATCATGAGCTATGTAATGCACGCGCCGAATTTCTACAAAAAGTCATATACAGACCACAGTTCATACTATACATGAACACGTGTACAGAAGCACACAACTGTACAATATCACGTTGCGATTTATTTGATATGAACTATGTCCTCCTCCGGTCAAACATAACATTCACTCATCCGTAATCTGTTGTAGTTTTTATCGTCTTTGTATGTGCAAAGCACAGCTGAATTAACAAGATTTGATGAATAAGAGTAACGTTATGCCCCCGAAATATTCAAGATTGGCTGTACTGAATGCAATGCAAATATGAACAAGATAAAAATGTTGACAGAAACAAAGAGAAAAGGACTAAAAAATATTGTTGAATAAAAAGTGGGGTTCACGGGAGCACAATAATGTCATGTTGTGTTCATGCAAACAAAGGTTCGAAGAAGCAGATTCAATGCTGAGGGAAGAGATATCTAGAAGACAAAATGATGAAAAACCATTGACAATAAGTCTTCCCAAAAATGTAAAATCACAAGCCATTAAGATATGTACCTTTTCAAGTAGCGTGTGACTGATTGAAAAAAAAAACTACAGCAGCCCATACTCTTTAGCGGGAACTACACCCAACATGCATGTATATTTTTATCGTGTTACTGAAAAAGGCATCAAGTAAATAACAACATGTCAACATTTAAGTTTTATAACTCTAGAGGAAATATGAACAAAATAAGAGATTAACACAGAGGCTCCTGAAAGTACAAGGAAAATAAGACCATTTGTTCAGGAAAAGAAAGCGTCTTCTGCTTCATCGACGACACCCAAAATATAAACCGTGGTCAATCCAAGTAAATGATGTCATAAAGTAATGAGAACATGGTATACAACAGCAACTGAATTTTGTTTTGAGGTGTCCTTTGTTGTTTTTAGCGTTTCATTCTTGTTTAGAGATATCATATCCTCATTATACGTGCTGGAGAGAAATAATATGTCTGTTGAATCTCGCGTCGTGGCTGATTGTAGGGTATATTTTCCATATTGTCACCGAGTGACAGAAGTGTAGATTTAAATCATGTTCCTCCAGGACAAACACTGTGGTGGGGTGTGACAGAAAAAAGATTGATAACAATAACTTAGACTAAGAATCATACAAGTATAGAAACGCAAAGGGATGGCAGTGGACATAAATCTATGAATAGGAAAATATGGGTACAAAAATAATATGGAAAAGGGCAAGAAATGTCTGTTACAAGCTCCAGAAATAGATAGGGTAATTCTTCAACCTATTTCTGGTAAATCTGTTCATGATTATTCTCTCTATGGATCTTGACCATTCTTCCAGTACTTCTAGGTTGGGACTGAATTTATCAGCTTACCATATCTCGGCCATGTAGTTCGTGCTCTGTGTGGTATCCTCAACCCTTTTATCACGCGCTTTGGTTCCTGACGAAGCATTTTGTATTTTGACTTTGTATGTCGGCTTTGTGAAACTCCGGACTGTCACACGACGAGCACGAATACGGAAACCAATCCTCGATCAAGCAAATGTTTGCTATTTTAATAGTTATTCTGCTGTAAGATATGATATGCTATGTACAAAATTGAAAAAAATCAACTGTTCTTTATTACTGTTTTAAATTCTTCCGAATTTACATATCATTATATCACTTCCTTGAAATAGCAGTATCACAAAAATACTGTAATCCTGGTTTGGTTATACTCAGAGTGGTAGTACGTGGTTTGGACAAAGGATCGGTTGAATAGCTAGACAAACCAGCAATAAAACATGATTTATATGGATTTTTGTGAAGTTAAGGCATCCAATACAAATGGAGGACGTCCATATTCTTACCATTAGTAAGCATTCTAAATAATAGTAATTTTCTGCTGACAGGATCAAGTTATTGGACGACTTATGAGAAGGCAGAATAACATACCTGTCATGTTTAATTTGAATTTAAAATTAGATACAGTTTAATCAAATAATGAATTCAAATGCACGAAACAACGACATAGGTCATCAGGGAATAAGTTTGTCTTATCCGCCTTACTCCAACAATGTCATTTATTTTGTGTCAGTTTCATTGATGTCGAGCTGGATACAGTAAGATTAACGTTATTGTAGGTATATCCTGGAAAAACATCACGAATATTTCAGCTGTTTTACTTTCGTCCTAATAACAAAATAATGTGAGAAGTCAGGGAAATAGGACGAACTACCCCGGAGTCTTGATCTTCGTACAAACTCCTTAATCTGAAATACAAAAGAAAAACGCTTTCATTTTAAACCATATTATCAAAATATGCTGATAGCTATGACTGCTTTAGTTTTAGTCTATATTTTGTGAAGATCATTCCAAATGAGAATTAGATATGTTCGTAGTTTATAACTAGTGGTAGCGTGTATATAAACGGATATGTAAGTTTGTTTACAACGCGACCTGTAATGTAAAAAAATGAACGTTGTAAACTGTTTAATATATGTACATTTATTTATTATTAATCTGAAGTTCAGTGTACTAAGATTTGCTTTGTCGAGTTCGATTTTGTTCTATCAAGTCCATCACTTGTTGAAAGCTAGTATCTTTTCTGCTTTGATGAACCATTAAATATTGAATAGATGAATAAAATAATGAGTAATGAGAATGTGGAAAAATGTTGACCCCAATTATGTTTTGTTTTTATAGAGCCGTTAGAAATATTGAAATAAAAGATCAAATGATTGTGGTCAAGAATCTCATTAAACTGCTTCCCGTAGTGACATTTTCTATATAAATGGGTCGTTACGAATATTATATATGTAAATAGATAGTACAATAAGGTTAGCGCTCATATTAAGGATATCGAAATGTATGGTGGCCAAACCTTATATCGTAGCGACATAATATGAAAAAAATCAGTTTCAGGGGCATCCTTGGTTGTGTTCGAGGCAATCATTGTTTTATTATTTTTTCTCTTTAATTGAAAGATCATAGAAAGCGGCTTGCACCATAAGAATAAAAAATGTGAAAACACTTAATTCTATCTTTAAACTGAAAAAAAACCGCAGAATGAAGATTTAAAAATGGTGTACGTCCTTGATAATGTTCTATAATGAAACTTTTTTACAAAAACTTTTACTAGTTTCGTGGTTAAATAAGAAGTGGTCGCTGTGCTCTCTTTTGTAATTGTCAACCAATTACACATTTTACTAAGATTAAGAAACAAACAGATATTTTAAGAAATGGTCCATCAATTTAAAATTCATGAATTTGAGATCTTTGATTGCTGGTGTTAAATTATTATAATTTAGTTGAAATCTACGTGTAAGACGTGTAATGTAGTGCAGTGAAGAATCAGCTGTTGTACATTTTAGTATCATGAGCTATGTAATGCACGCGCCGAATTTCTACAAAAAGTCATATACAGACCACAGTTCATACTATACATGAACACGTGTACAGAAGCACACAACTGTACGATATTACGTTGCGATTTATTTGATATGAACTTTGTCCTCCTCCGGTCAAACATGACATTCACTCATCCGTAATCTGTTGTAGTTTTTATCGTCTTTGTATGTGCAAAGCACAGCTGAATTAACAAGATTTGATGAACAAGAGTAACGTTATGCCCCCGAAATATTCAGGATTGGTTGTACTGAATGCAATGCAAATATGAACAAGATAAAAATGTTGACAGAAACAAAGAGAAAAGGACTAAAAACATATTGTTGAATAAAAAGTGGGGCTCACGGGAGCACAATAATGTCATGTTGTGTTCAAGCAAACAAAGGTTCGAAGAAGCAGATTCAATGCTGAGGGTAGAGATATCTAGAAGACAAAATGATGAAAAACCATTGACAATAAGTCTTCCCAAAAATGTAAAATCACAAGCCATTAAGATATGTACCTTTTCAAGTAGCGTGTGACTGATTTACAAAAAACTACAGCAGCCCATACTCTTTAGCGGGAACTACACCCAACATGCATGTATATTTATACTATGTACACATGTCCATGAACTATGGAAGCATGTATAGCACAGATGTTGTAGGATTTGGTAACTTTATATTAACAGTGTAATTTGACAGTATAACGAGTACCTGTGCCCTACGTCCGTCAGTACTGTTGTGTCCGGATTCTTCTTTTGGTATGTTTGCCAGGCTGACCAGGATGACAAATAACCAACGTAAGATTCGATATCGATGTGTCGTTCAACGTTTAAACGCTCCCTAAAAATTGATAAAAACAAAAAAAGAGTTTCAAATTATCGTAAAACGCTTTTGACGAAAATGTCGCAATCTGGACATAAAAGGGTATTTTATTTTCGAAAATACTGCTCCAATTTTCTAGGTTCAAGTGATTTCCATTCAACAATTATCATTCGAGCAGCACTATTATTCACAACATAGAAATTTGTTCGTAAAAACGAAAGTATTCTTTACAATGCAGAAATATCCCTTCGTACGTTCAAAACAACTGTTATTGTTAGCCAGCTGGAGGTCTGCTATTGACAGACAAAAGTCTTTAGTTTTATTAATTGAAAATCTTTCACACAAGCTTACATCAAAATAAAAGAGATTGCGAACTTGCTTTCAAATTCTATCAATACGCGTTTTCGTTTTGGAAGGTTTATCACACACATGAAAGGAATAAGGTATCTTTTGTAGCCCTGAATAGATTAGGATTATTTTTCATGTTTCTATGATAAAAAGATCAAATTATAAGAATACGTAAAGGTAAAGCTGTAATCATGAAAATATACTACCATTATATTCCTGATCATTTGAATGTCGTATTGTACTTCTCTATAAACAGTGGTTACACGGATTGCATGTACCCTTGAACAAAATGGTCATAACCTGTCATCCCTTTGGGAAGAACATACAAAAAACTCATCTTTGATATACAATGTATGTTAAAATGTATTTCAAGAAGTACACAAATATATATTTGGTTAGTCAATGCAGTAAAATTGATAATACGTTCTTGGCTAATACACTTACGTTAAGAGTACTCTGTAAAGAAATATGAAGGTTTGTCACAAACCTCTTGATGATTCGATACTACTATGATTATACGAGACACATAAGTGAATAACACCTTTTCTTAACTTAGAGTGAGATACAGTAGAGCCAAACAATGAATTAAACTACGTCATATAACTGTTTCATCTTAATAGGACTAGTCGGTGCTCAGTGCCTACATTTTGAAGGCTATTAGGTGATTAAGGAAAATCCAAAGTTATGAAAAAGGCAAAATCTAGACGGGAAGGCGCAGCAGCCCGATAATCAGATAATTGTTATACATCGGATTACTTTAAAATAACGTCAAGTATATGTATGCTTTCTTAACCGTGTCACTATGAGAGAGAATTAAAACGTGGCAAACAGGTAATGACAATCCTCGAGGATCCACCAGCAGTATCTACCACCTGCTATCTTAAAGATTGTACAAAAATCACACAAGTGAACAACGCCTTTTCATACTTTGGAGAGAAATGCAGTAGAGCTGTTTCGGCATTCTTGGATTTGTCAGTGATGCTATATCATACCGCTGTTTCGTCCTTCTAGGACTCGTCATTTATGCTACATCAAACAGCTGTTTCGTTCTTCTAGGTCTCGTCAGTGATGCTTAGGGACTAAATGTTGAATCCAGTCTAGGGGGCGAGTATAGAAAACCTAAAGTGATCATAGAAAAAGTCGAAATCTAGACGTGGAGGTGCAGGGTTACAATCACTTGTGTTGGATGCACCCCTTTAACGTATCATGGCAAGACGATAAGACTAGTTTAACATCAAATGAATTTCGAGGTCTCATAACGGTATATTGTAATGACTTTAAAGTTGAATGACACACATTTGTAATCTTGAAAACGAGAGTATTAGCCTGTAATTGTTCAGTTTGTTTTTCTTCTGGAACCAATTTGCGAGGGTTCAGTTTTGGTCATGACATGTTCAATTGCTGCAAAAGGGTGAAAGTGTGACAACTGGTGTATCGCGGTTGGGCCAATACATGATGCATTGATGTCTGTTTTGCGATAATTTTTGGAAGTTACAAATATTTACCTTAATGTTTCTTCGAAGGGAAGTTCTATCAGTGATAAACCATTAACAATATGTTTGCGTTTCTCTGTCCAGCAATCGCGCAAAGTTTTGCCTTGGAACTCCTGCAAATAAACATATAAAAAAACATATAAAACCAACAGCAACATGTCTATAAGTAATGAAAAGTGATATCTATTTTAAACAAAAAATAAATACAAGTCTAAAAACATTCATACACATTCAACAGCCGCAATATAATACTCGGTTGAGAGAACTTGTCTTTATCTTGATTGGTTGAGCGTCAGACTAGTGAGCCAGGGGTCCCGTGTTCGATTTCTAGCGGAGGCATTGAAATAAATAATGACCTCTGTTACAATAATCCATACTGAAATTAAATAAAATTATGTCAGAATTTAAACGATCTACATGGGGACCCATGAAAAGTACAAGGAGGATAGGACCAGGTATTTCGGAAGGGTAAGCGTATTCTACATCCTCGATAATATCCGCATTGTCTTTTGCTTCATCGACAGCACCCGCCAAATAAATCTTGATAAAGTCAAGTAAGTCACATTCTCAAATGAGAGCAAGGTATACAACAACGGAACCACCAGGCAACCTAACTTGCATTAAAATACGCCCAACTTCATATCGCACAAACAAATAGAATATTTCTAAATGAGACTCCTATCACGGGTTTGCCCGTCAGGGTAGGATACCTTGCACTAAAATGTGTATACTGGGAACAGGTCCTTCAATATCGATTCATTGGTTAGTAACACATTAAAAGGAAGGACAAAGAACACTGTATCCTTACGCATATCAATAGTTTATGTCAAGCCTAGCTTTGTTTTCGCTTTTTTATTTTGGGATATTTATGTTGAAGTGGTCTTGTCAGAGATATGAAATGGTATCTTTTATGTTACAGACTAGAAAGAGATTTTTTTAAAGGAGTGAAAGAAAATGTATATGAAAAGCAAACAGTAACAACAACAAGATATGAACGTGTGAGCAAATCCGGAATCCTCAATAAAACTACGAGATAAGAAAGATTTTCAGAAATATCACTTAGAAGTAGACGCAGAATAAGACCAAATATACATAAGAAATTGTGATCTGAGACCCTGTTGACATTTGCAAAAAAAAGTTAACCTAAAATGCCAAACCTTTATGTTCGAAACAAATTGACGAATTGATACTATGAAACTGTAGTTACTATGTACTTTCTACAAACACAAAAAGTTTTGACATACAAAATAGTACATAATTAAATTAGGAGACAAAGATTTTACTTAATTGTGAATATATCAGGTCAAAGCTCATGGTTTGAGGAAACTGTGAACCGAGGTAAATAATAACGAGTATATTAAAAATCATAAAAAAGATATATTGAATTAGGGGAAAATTAAATAAAAGAACAAATATATAGCAAAATTCATTTCCGTGTTTACACCGGCGTTACAAGAACGTGAAAATTGCATATTACAACCATGTGTACGTCTACTTGTTCCTGTGAACCTACTTCCCAAACAATTTGGTGTGCTTCATTGTTGTGTATTTTGTCGTCAATGAAAGAATACACTGCCAGAACACCACCAGGTCGCAGCACGCGGCTCACTTCCTTCATGAACGTTGGTATGTCCATCCAATGAATGGCAGTTGCTGTGGTCACAAGATCGACTGTTTCGTCACCTTGAAAACCAAGGTCTTCGGCATGGCCTTCTCTGAAATCCACATTACTTGATACTTTTCTAGCTGCTGTAATCTGCTCTTTGCTGATATCTACTCCGATGACATGCTTACATATGCTTGTCAAAGGGAGGGTACTCTGTCCACTTCCACATCCGACGTCAACAGCTAAGTCTAGGGTATTGGCATCAGATTCCATACAATATTCTTTTATTCTGCGGTAAAGTCTCTCTGGGTATGAAGGTCGGTATTTAGCATACAATTTTGCATGCTCTTTGCCCTCAAATAAACTGAATTCGTTTGATTGAGTTGCAGACATTCTGAAACAAACGTTTTAGTAATGTTTTATTCAACAGCACACACATTGTATCACATGAAATTTTCAGTATACTTGGAAATATTGATTTCATTGAATGGTAAAATAATGTGAACATATGCCGTTTGTTATTCTGCTATCAGTCTTGTACTTAACACAAGAGAGACTAAATCTTGTCATGTTTCTCATCTTTTTACATTGCACCAATGTTATTGTAAACAAGTCACCTGATTTTCTTTGTAAAAAACGTTATTCTAATCAGTATCGATGTAATTTACTTAACCAATGAACGGTACACAGAACGTGACATCAGTTTCTTTGTTTGACCAAGGATTAAATTGCATGTGCCGTCTCTGAAGTCAAACACACTTACTCTTCTGGAACACTTGGTTTTTTAAGGAGTCTGTGTTTAAATATCTTTTTTGCTCCTATTGTGCCTAAGGTTTATTAAATTTGTGTTTTTGAGTTTGATGAAATGACTTTATAACCATTCCTTACCATATAAGCATGAAGCATATCCTTTGAAATGATATATATATATAAGTGGAGTAATGAAATTATAAGCTGTTTTAATTGGTCCTTGTTTTAAAGCAAACATTACTTGGGACGGTGTTAGATATGAAGTTTACTATCTTCTGTACCAGACAAATATTTGATCAGGTTTGAAAATGTCTTAAGATAACTAGGGTGTCAACAAGTGAAGGAAACCGTACATCAGAAAAACAATTATATTCATAGTGTTAGCGTCGTAATTGAAAACATCAAGAAGATACCAACTTGTAAACATAATCGCAATCCAAACTTATAAATAATAAAACTATGGCATATATGAACACGGAAATATTACACGGCGACTCCTGTAAACAGTACAAGGAGAATAAGACCAGGTATTCCGGTAGAGTAAGCGTATGTTGAACATATGTATCACAAGCTTTTAAACGTCCATTTACGGATAATTGTAATGAATCATATCATGCAATCTTTAGAAATATGTAATTTACGATTTTTAACGATATTTCAATAATAAATATTATCAAGGCTAAAAAAACACTCCAAACATAATATCATAATAACAAATCGAGGTTTCTTTTTTATATACAGCTTTATTACAGCAGCATAACAGACACAAATAATTATACTTGGTAATGGGTCCTTTTTGCTGTAAGTCATAATCAATGATAACGTTGACATAAAATTTTACTTTCACAACTTTCGCTGGATCGTTTGTTGAAGATCGAAGTTTGACAAAGGTGCTCAAAGCATGCTGAACGTTAAATGTAAATATCGTTAATAAATTAGCATGACAACTCAAAAGGACAAAAATGTATGTTTTAATACATACACAATTGAACGTCATCAAAACCTGGATAATAAACTCTTAAACTGGGATTGTAATGGTGTAAAACAAGTACGTGGACCTAAAGTGAATCCCCAAGAAAGAAATATTAGATTACAAAGAAGATAAAATGGCGATGGTGTGAAAAACTAGAACGTCACCTGTAAATGAATCTTCTGAATGGTGATAGTACTTTATAACTCAAGTTATGGTACCCAAGAGAGTTAAGAATCAATTTACAGAATTCGGTATAACACCTCCGCACCTAGCATCAAACATACCTACTTGTCGTGAAAGGTGTGCTGCTCCGTGGTACATACGTCGGTATTACCTGACGGATAACTTGTTAATGTTTATGTCACATGTTAACAGGTCATGGACGCTAGCCGCAGTATTAAAGCAAGGTTTATTCTCCTCGTCTCAATCTAGGTCAAGCTGATGTGTGTCCTTATAGAAAACTTGTTTACGATGTATCTGAAACAAACAAAAGATAACGAAGTAGACTAGGTTGTGTAGATTTACATGGTGGGTGTTGTCGATGAAGCAGAGATTGCTTACACTTCCTTAACACCTGGTCTTATTTTCCTTGTACCTTTTTTGGAGTCTTCGTGTAAATCTTTCTTTTCTTCATATTTTGACCTAGTTTATTGAATATGATTCTTTTAAATTATGATTATGTTTCCATGTTGGTATTTTCTTGATTTCTTTTACAATATCAGATGTCAATTCTAAATAACAACAATAAGATATCTCCCTAATATCTTGACTCTGATAATGGTATTGAGAATGGGCATTAGTCATTATATACAACAACTGAACTGTAATACAATCAGAAACATCACAACAACTAGCAATAACAACAAAATCATGCTATAAAGGCGGACTTCCATACAGTATGCCTATCACTAACATTCAATGGTATTATCACATGACCACGTCACATAATTCTACAATATGTCTGTGATATACAAAGCTTTCGTGAACACGTGTACTTTGCTAAGAATAAGAATCAATTTGTTCATTCAGGCAAGCGTCACTGGAAATTGTGTATACCTTAATGGATTGTGATTATATAATTTTGGATAATTATTACCAATTGTTTCTCAAAATTCTATCTTCTTGATATCTGTCAGCTTTTAATCGGCTTCTTCGAAATTTGGTAGGCCTGAAAACACTTCTACATTGTGCTCTCCTGAAAAACAATTTTTAATCAACAATATTTCAAAAAGTCCTTTTCCTTCTGTTCTGTTAAACATCTTCATCTTGTTCATATATTATTCCGTTTCCCACATATCTCTTTGAACTTGATATGCTTCAATTTCACACCAACCTCTTGACAACATAAGTCATCATCATTATTATTTATTTATTTATTTATTTATTTATTTATTATTTTATTTCATTTATTTTTTTTTTTTTTTTTTTTTTTGCATTTGGAAATGTTCCGCCCTGCTTTACCCTTGTTTTAGTCTTGTTCATTCGGCTGTGGATTGCACTCACAAAGACGATAAAAACTAAAACAGATTAAGGATGCGTGAAAGTCATGTTTGACCGGGAGAAGGACATAGCTCATGCAAAATGATAATACGATATGTAACCGCTGTAAGATTGCTGACTATTTACGAGAGGTGTATTCATAATATCGCTCACCAAGACGCTGATAGACACGTTGTCTCCCGTCCGACGTGTAAAGCGAGACTCGTCTCCAATACGCAATACGCGTCTCCAAAGGGCAAAACGATATCAATTAGGCACATGTGCATTCTCATTAAACATAAACCTAACTTGTCTGGAGTAGACTTGTAGAAGTATGCATGATCAGCCCACCTGCGGGGTAGACTTGTAGAAGTGGGACCGATCAGCCCACGTGTGGAGTAGACTTGTAGAAGTGGGACCGATCAGCCCACCTGTGGGGTAGACTTGTAGAGTGGGCATGATCAGCCCACCAGTGGGGTAGACTTGTAGAGTGGGCATGATCAGCCCACCTGTGGGGTAGACTTGTAGAGTGGGCATGATCAGCCCACTTGTGGGGTAGACTTGTAGAGTGGGCATGATCAGCCCACCAGTGGGGTAGACTTGTAGAAGTGGGATCGATCAGCCCTACAGTGGGGTAGACTTGTAGAAGTGGGACCGAACAGCCCACCTGTAGGGTAGACTTGTAGAGTGGGCATGATCAGCCCACCTGTGGTGTAGACTTGTAGAGTGGGCATGATCAGCCCACCTGTGGAGTAGACTTGTAGAAGTGTGCATGATCAGCCCACCTGTAGGGTAGACTTGTAGAGTGGGCATGATCAGCCCACTTGTGGGGTAGACTTGTAGAGTGGGCATGATCAGCCCACATGTAGGGTAGACTTGTAGAGTGGGCATGATCAGCCCACCAGTGGGGTAGACTTGTAGAGTGGCCATGATCAGCCCACCAGTGGGGTAGACTTGTAGAGTGGCCATAATCAGCCCACCAGTGGGGTAGACTTGTAGAAGTGGGACCGATCAGCCCTACAGTGGGGTAGACTTGTAGAAGTGAAACCGATCAGCCCACTTGTAGGGTAGACTTGTAGAGTGGGCATGATCAGCCCACCTGTGGGGTAGACTTGTAGAGTGGGCACGATCGCCCACCAGTGGGGTAGACTTGTAGAGTGGGCATGATCAGCCCACCAGTGGGGTAGACTTGTAGAGTGGGCATGATCAGCCCTACAGTGGGGTAGACTTGTAGAAGTGGGACCGATCAGCCCACCAGTGGGGTAGACTTGTAGAGTGGGCATGATCAGCCCGCCTGTGGGGTAGACTTGTAGAAGTGGGCATGATCAGCCCACCTGTGGTGTAGACATGTAGAAGTGTGCCTGATCAGCCCAACTGGACAGCGTACTTCGAACACAACATGTGCAGTAGCGCCCACCATCTACAGAGGCTGCACACATATTCCAAGCAATGGAACCTACTTATATTGGAGACAATGTACTACAGTGTAAGTCGTTCTTCAAGCGAAGACTTGTAAACTGCTGGATAATGCCTCCGTGTAATAGTACATAACTGGCCATATTTGTATCAGATCTGTTGTGTATTGTATCCTCTCCTCAAACCCTAGGCAAAAGCTAATAAAAGACGGAGAACGACGTAAGATATCCGTAAAAATCGATAAAACCTATTATTTCAATCACGCTTATATTTCCCACACGCGTTTCCATACTTTAATTAATTGAACCAATTAAGATTCAGTGATAATGATTTTATATATCATTTTATCACACATGCTTTATATAGGTCACCAAATATTTACCCAATATAGAATAAACTGTTCAGTAGACATTGAGTAAACAGCGAATGATGAATATCAATACCACGATAAACAAACTAGTATGTACTTGTTGGCCTCCATACCTTCCATACTCGTACGAATTATACGCTTACGTAACTGATACAAAATAATTCATAACATTAGAAGCTATTTATGGTACAAATATACTTTTATCTTACTCATATCATAAATGCCTAGCTATCAAAACGCTACTCAAAATCTATAGATGAAATATGCACACGCATAAGTAAACACAACAAAACCTCATACGTGCTTCAGTGGACCGCAAAGTGTCGTCGATGAAGCAGATCATGTTAACTCTTCCGGAGCACCTGGTCTTATCATCCATGTGATTTTAAAGTAATGTCAAAGTAAACATTTCTGTTCTTCATATTTTCCTTAGTTTTTATCGCATTTGAGTTTGGATTATTGTTAAATTGACACGTTGATGTCTGTTTTTAAGAAGCATATGAGGGAATTGTTGTAAAGCCTTATAACGGAGTTGAATAAATTACATGTATATTGTTTTGTTTTGACAAACTACGTTTCTAAACGGAATACATTTAAATACAAACTTGATTTATTTTACAACAATTGCTTCGTGTTAAATATTAATGACAACAATAAACTTATACAGAATATCAAACGGAAACACTGATATGTCATTTGTTACTATTTGTTGCAAAACTGTACATTTTTATTGTGAATTAATTATCATAGCACACGCTATAATGTGATGCAAACACGGAATTTGTTATTTATTTCTTTACGTTTAATAAGAGAACTACTTGTTGTTTGATATCATATTTTGTACATATGTTACTGCTGTGTGCGTTATCAGTCGTGTAGACAATGTACCACCTAGCCTATGTATTCGATTTTAATGAACAGATCATTCGTTTTCACTGACTCGTCCCATAGATTTTGATGGACATTATCTTACATCAAAGTTGGGGACATTTCCAAAACTCGACTATCATGTGTTACGTGTTCTATATTGTTGTATTCATTTGAATAATTTATATACGAATATATGAGCTTATATGGTGTCAAAGACATGTACACTCAATTGTCGTTAAATATCCCCGCATCCCTACCCCATCCTCAAAATCGTTTACAGTATATTTATATATGATCAATGAAGTAATAGCAACAGTACGGACAAACTAATTGTCAAAATTATCGAGGCAACCTGCCCCTATATCAAGACACACATATTTCATGAATTACATCACATACCTTAAACAAAATAACAAATACACAGTGTAGTTACAATAAAAATACTAGTTAAATGCACAATTTATATATATATATATATATTTAATTCCAGCTCACTATAGGTAATAAATTCACTGAAGACAGCTTGGTACTTGAATTGTATTTGATTCAATACCTTAAGACTGGATTATTACATAACTGTCATATTCCACTCTACAAAGGTCCTTAAAACTATGTTCACAGTACTTAACAATGTAACCGATAATCTGGGCCTGGTTAAGTAACAGAATTATTGATTTGAATCGCACCTGTTTCGTCCCGATTTTATCTTATTGGTGCTATTTACCTAACATATGGAAATATGCATTTAATTCAATAACATAAATATTGATCATTTTGAACTAAGGGAGCCTAGCGAGGCCAACGGGTTACACAGCATTGTGTTGAGAAAAATAAACTTATTGAAGATGAAGAGTACAACTTCCTAATGTAATCATTTTAAAGTAAAGAGAGCAACCTTGTCAGTTTTTTCAGCCTCACTGTCCTAATATCCCGACTCTAGTGATGGTATAGAAGAATGTTATGTTCGTATATCTCTTACTGAAACAGGTCAATTAAATCCGTCCAGGCCGATACACTCTTGAATCTCTGGATCCTGAAAGCAAAAGCTCAAAGCTGGGATTCACGTCGGCCATCATGTCATTCGACCTGTCCTTTCTTTGTAATATGAAAGTGTTGTGCTTCAAATCGAGTCAATACTTTACACTGTTCGATCCTAGCCAGGGAAGCGTCATAGCCAGATATACCAGGCTTTTGTTGATAAGGTACGTTATTACAGCTCTTCAAACTAAAACATAAAATTGTTAATATAAACTTGTACGGAGGATACACAGGGGAATAGCAATACTTGTCAATAAAAGTGAATGTAATAAAACTGCATCTTACGGTCAACAGTCTCTCTAAGACAAATTAGTGTTCGTAAGGGTCTAAAATGTTAAAAATTAGAAGTCGCTGAGAAGGCAAAATTGGTCATAATGTGCGTCAGGTAGAAGATAAAAAATGCATCAACTGCAAAATTTACAAATTTTATAGCCTTCAATGATTTGTATTAAATTTAGTTATTTCAAAAACTATAAAAACATTTGTATATTCTGCACCGTGATACGAAAATTCTTAAAAATCCTTTTACATCTACATTGATTGGCAGGCAAATCTGCTGAATACTGAATATGTATGAGCAAACATATATATATATATACATAGACACGAAACAATAGAGTAATTTCAGCTGCTGCAGTAACACAGCTCAAAGTTTGCAGACCGAGAGCGGCATTGATCCAAAAGAAAGGTACATGCGATGTAAGTATATATATATATATATATATATATATAATATATATATATATATATATATATATCTTTAATCAATATATGATTTAATTATCGTTATTTCGGAAACTGTAAATTGAAACCTTTTGTTATTTTACATAAAAAAAGTATTGGATTCATCACCATTTCTAACAAATAGCAGGTAATTTACATCTATATAATATTTTTTTTTTCAATTTATAATGAGTTCCTTAACATGATCATGAGGAAACAAAAACGAACTTTTATATAAAATAGCATTAGAAATATGCTTAACGATTTCCTTTATTTGCGAATCATCGTTGTTTCACACTGCTACTGGAGAACAATTAAGAACTAACACCCTTATTAGTTTGAAAGATTAACTTGACAGTTCTGGTTAATTTCAATAGCATAAATTCTTTCGCCATGAAAGCTTAAAAAGAAATGAAAAAAAACACAATTCCTACTTCACAACTAAAATGATAATAATGTATTTGCTACACTTTTGAAATTCTGTTTCTTATGTCTTCGTTTTTGAGGACCAAGTGACATCTAGAGATAATTACATATACCTAATTATTGATGTGCTATATTGACATCCATCCTTAACACATCTTGCACGTGTCACATATGTTGGGATACATAAAGATATACCGTACTCAGGTGGTCAGCCAGGAATACATCTTATGCTATGTTTAATATGAGGATTTATCATGGCATGTGGAAAATTCTATTTCATCTGTCTGAAACTGAGATTATGCCATGGCGCAGCGTCCGTCGTCATCTTTTTCCTTTAAACAACTTTCACTAAATTATTAAAAGACCAACGGTAGCGATATTGGGACTATAGAATACTGGGCTATAAAACATGTTCAAAAATGCAATTAACATACTTTTGAGTCCATAGGTCAAACTTATTATAAATTTAATAGAGGTATGACAAAAGAGGAAGAAAAGAAAGATTTACATCTAAAAAGTAGGAGGAGAATAAGACCAGGTGTTCTTGAAGAGAAGCGTTTTCTGCTTCTTTGACAACATTCGCTATGTTATTCTTGGTCAATCCTAGACATCCATGTCACATTCTTAATTTAGAGAGAGATCTGCGATAACGGAACCACCAGACAAACTAACGAGCATCAAACACGTCCAACTTTGTATCGCACAAAGAAACCCTCAAACCAACTAACGAGCA